TTGCAAGTATTATACTATATAATAGTATACTATAATATTATATACTATATTATTAATAATATAGTAATAATGTACTAATAATACATATAATATATTAAAATACTAACGTGTCACAAAAATATGTACCAATAATATGTACTATGTTATATACTATAATTTACTATATACTATATTATACTATAATATATTTACTATATACTATAACAATTAATAATAATATTATATTGTAATATTATAGTATAATACTATATACTATATTATACTATAATATTACAGTATAATATTATTATTAATTATTATAGTATATAGTAAATATATTATAGTATAATATAGTATATAATATTATACTATAATATCATAGTATAATTAATGCATATAGTATTATACTATAATATTATAGTATAACACTATATATTATATTATATTATAATTATAGTATAATGCTATATATTATATTATATTATAATTATAGTATAATACTATATATTATATTATACTGTAATATTATAGTATAATACTATATGCTATATTATACTATAATATTACGTTATAGTATAATATTATAGTATACAGTATTATACTATATTATCACGGAGCGGAGAATGTACAATAATTCTACAGAAATTGGAAGCAGCAAGTCGACTCCATTGGCACTGGAGTGGTTTCACCGTACGTAACAAAATCGATAGATACACCGATCGATTCACTTTACCGGAGTCAGCGACCGTCTGCATAATCCAATACTCCTCGTCTACCTCTCGCTCGAGGTCCGCCAGCCTTTTCACTATGCCGATGCTCTCTTCTCTGGCCCGGTATATTAAGTACTTGATGATCCGCGCCATCAGCCAGCTTGGTAACGCTTCATAGTAGTTTTCCTCGTTCAGCACCTTGCTCGCGTAATGGCAAACACCCTGGATCGCCGGACATTTGTCCAGGCTCTGCTTCGACAACGCCCTCACGCTGGCCAGCATTTTGTGATAGCTGAGCGAGTAAATGGCCTTTCGCTTGCCCTCTTCGGCCGCCGCGTTGAACAGCGACACGCACCTCGAGTGCTCGGTGATCGTCTCGACCATCATGGTCACCATGCACCACCACTCGTCGTCGTTGATCGAGATCGCCTCCAATGGTTCGCGCCACGCGTCCTCGTCCATCTGTTTCCTCCCTTTGCTCGAGATCTCCGATCTCGTTGTTTTCATCCTCCTTCGCATCGTTGTTTATTGCCATTGGTTTCGTTAACCTCAATTTCTTTTTTTCTTTTTTTTTTTTTCTTTTTGCGCGAGTGTGGCTAATCGATTATCGAAAAGCTGGTAATTATCGAGGTATTGGAAATTGCAATACCGTAATCGAATCAGTTGGTTTTGGAATTTTTCAATTTAGTTGGATCTTGTTGGCAATCTTCGTCGATCATTCTTCGCATCGTTGTTTATTGGCGCTGTTGGTGTTTCCATTCGTTTGAACCTGAATTCTTTGGGGGAATCTTCACGCGAGTGCGGTCCATGCGAATATCGATACATTGGAAACTGTAATAATTTCAAATTGAATCATTTTCGAATTTTTAATTTCGTCGGAATTTTATTACCGATCTCGTCGTTTTTGCTCTCTTCCTTTATCCGATGATTTTCCCGTTTTCTTTCCTCTTCGCTGGTAAACTTTTTGACACGTTCAACCAGATTAACCTCAATCATCGAGCTTTTCAAGTTACTGAAGATATTTACAATAAATATAAATTACTATAAATTCGACCGTTCGAATTTGAATCTTCAACTTCCAAGGAACATACAGATTCGAATTAGTCGCTCTTCGAGTTTTCAACCCCGCGAGAAACTATTTCCTGTGAATTTATAATCTTTCAACGACCGTAAGAACTCTCCGCGCTCCCGGAATAAATCGCCGGGCTTTTTCACCGCCGGGTTTGAAAAAAAAGAAAGAAAAAAAAACAGAAAAAGGAGAAAAAAAAAAATGTCGGCACATAAATTTCTTGCATCGATTCGGGGAACGCGGCGAACGTTCGCGCCGACAGTACGAGGGGATGAAAGGGGTCGGAGGGGAGGGCCGTAGAGTCGATTTTAGCGCAGTTTAGACTACGTTTTGTCACTCTTGCGTCGCGCCGTTTACAGCTTGACACGCTGTGTAAATCAGCTTTAAATCAAGCTGACGCGGACGAGAGGAGACCGAAAATGAAACCCGAACTGTCCGAAAACCGGAAGCCGTCATGTTCACACTGGCCAACGTTGAACCACCTGCCACCGACACGCGCTCGCGTCACTCCCGAAAGTGTACAATCGCGTATTTTTCTTACCGTTTGTCACGCAGATTCCTCCCCCGTGAAAGGGAGAGAATTCAATTCCTTATCCATTCGGACACGAGATTTCGCGAGAGAGAAAAATTCAGTTGAAGTTTGATTTCGATTTTTATCTTTATTCGAGTTTAAATGATCTTCGTTTTCACTCAGATTAAATTATAATGACGAGCGAAGAAGCTTGTTGTTTGTCGATGAACTCTCGTGAACGTGGACAGAGGAACGAGGCGTAACAACATCGTTTCCGTAATTTTTATTTCACACGTTCATCCTCGCTGAGTTTTCATTTCAATTTCATTCGCGTTCTTCTCTGGATTGCTTTGCCTGCGCGCACATATTTCATTGAAAAGATAAGGGGGAAAAAATCTGTTTCCCCCGACAATTAAAATTTACAAAATTTACCGTACGATCCATACAGTTGCAAGTTGCAGCGAAAGTAGCTCGCTTGCGCGTGTTTAATCTTGAAACCGGACCCGCGTGTACTAATATGCTCGTACACCGGTCGCTCTCACACATAAAATATTATTTCGCATTTTTATTCGGCGCCACTGTGTGTGCGTATCGTTGTTACTTTATTTTACGTTCGTTACTGCGGCAACCAAGTTTTTCAGCCGCGCTTGCACCGGCGCCTGTAATCCAATTAACATACGGTAAGGTGCGCAGACTAAATGGCTCGTCATTGCTCGAATTAGAATGGACCGATTATTTCTCACGCATGATATCAACTCTCGTGCCAAGTTGCACGACACACATTTACGACGCTTATTTCTCTTGTGGTAAATCCGCGTCTCTTTTTTCGAGAAAATAGAAATTTCCTTCAAACGGTCGTCTTGTTATGTGTCATATATATTTCATATATATTTTATATATATTTATATCATATACATTTCATATATATTTATATCATATATTTTTATCATGTATATTTATATCATATATTTTTATCATGTATATTTATATCATATACATATCATATATTATTCATATATATTTATATCATATATATTTCATATATATTTATATCATATATTTATATATCATATATATTTCATATATATTTATATCATATATTTATCATGTATATATATATATATATCATCTATATTTATATGAATAGATATAATTATTATATAACAATGTATACAATTATTTATAAATACGTTAATACTAGAAATTATTTTTTAACAATCGAATGAAACTTACAAATTTATTTGAGTTAAGTGATTGAGTAGATAGTGTGTTCAAACGTTTAAATTATTACGTTGAAGGTCCTCGTGGTAAAAAATTCAAGGTTTAATTATCTTGATGTTGTAACAAGAAAGAGAGAGGGCCTCTTGGATTTCAGCATGCTACATTACATAAATAATACTTATTGCGTAATTCATTTACACGGCCGAAGCATAAAATTTGTAGCAGGTAAATTAAAATTACAGTCACAGTAAAAATTTGTAACTTTATTCGTGTAATTTTGCTAAAAAATGTACAATTTCTGCACTCGAAATGTACAATCCTTCCTGTTATTATATTTCATCGTTCTGTCAGCGTTGAGCACAATAATTTAGATAACAAGAGACATACAGAGATATTTTCCTTTCCGTGAAATAATCAGAAATAACTACGAAGATCTTCAACGCTGTTAGAAATAAAAATTACTCTACATCAATTGAAAATAATTATTTGACTCCGGAAAGTGTTATTAATTGATCTCTGAGCTGCTAAATAATTGACGAAAAATACTCCCATCGATAGAAAACTTGTACTAAGTGCAAGTATCTTACTCGAATCGGGACACGGACGTTTCACGAACAAAACCGGCAATCGTCAGTGGGTCGAGACTTGTAAAGTACCGCGTTCATTAATTAATTTTCCCGGTGAAATGTCGCGACGATACGTCAACAAGCTGGCCTCGGATCTCGCGACAGTTTTGTTAATGGAGAACGTTTTCCCTCGGCTACTAGCCGCCGATCCATTAAAACAGGTCGCGGGAATTAAATGAGAAGAACACCGGCGCCGCTGTCTTTTCCCCTCTGGGCCGAACGACAAACGCTCGCGCTCGCAGAGAGCCGATGTGCTCGCAACGATTATGAAAATGGCTGGCAGTCCCGAGAAAAAAAAGAAAAGAGAGAGAGAGAGAGAGAAAAAAAAGTAGCTGCGAAAACTGATGATGATGATGATGATGATGATGATGATCCACTCGGTAATTAGGAAATTGAAGACGGGACTCGGTATAATAGAATCGCGCTCGTCGACACGGTGGGCTTTTCAATTTCGATTTTTTCTGGAAATCTCGCGGATTTAGAGCCGGTGAATGATGACCCGATTTCTGAATGAAATTGAAAACAATTTTAAACAAATAGACGAAGCTGATGCTTGCCAATTATTAACAATTTCTTCGTTTCTTTTCTCCATTTATTATTATTACTCGAGAGAGAGGTCAATGAACTGTGAGCGTGAAACAAATTTCGCAACTACGAAGACAGTCTCTGTATTTCAGGAACGTTTGTCTAAAATTCCACAGGCTGTAATGTTGTCATAATTGCTTTTAACATGCACGAAATATTCAATTACGACGAGATTACCACTGGGGGAGGGGGGGAAAGTGAGAAATGCTTCAAAGTTTAAAGAACTTTGAAAAAAATTTGATTTATTCGAAGTTGAAGAACGCAAGCGTGAAACAATGCCAAGTATGAAATGCGCGTGCAGTTTAACGAAATTTTAAATTCATTTTTAAACGTGCGCAAGTGACACAAAGACTGGCGGGGAAATTGGCGCTCGCCAAGAGAGTACCATTCGCAGAACGTCACAAATATTTATCTGCTCGAAATTCGAAAATACGATAACATCACTCGCGAAAAATATTTCGAATTCCTTTTCTTTTTCGAACACGCACGATTTGTAACGGGGATTACATGTGGGAAAAGCGTACAAATTAAGCAAAATTCCCTTTTTTAAACATACATGTGATGGGAATGAAAACAAGAGAGAGAGAGAGAGAGAGAGAGAGAGAGA